TTCATTTTGTGATCAACAGACACTTGCTGCTCATTTGACATGGAGCGAAAAAGCACTTCAAGGCCAAAGATCTGTTGAACAATGAGCTTCATTTTACAGTTTAGCACATGCAGTGACATGGTGGACTAATGGACTCTTTTAGCATGAAGTAGTTTGGCGGCTTGAGAGTTCATTTAATTCGAGGCAAACTGTTTGTTGGTCCATCCATTTCATGGATTATATGGGATTACAATCTGTCCATTCCTAGATGGAACATTATGGATTAGACAGGGATTGGTAATCCATCAGGGAATATCATCTTCTGGCTGTGGATGGTTAAGGCAGTCATCCTGGAAGTCATAAAGGTTTTACAGGAACCGGAAGGTCAGAGGTTAAATCCCTGGTGTAGCGGGTATGTTCCATTCCTGTCACAGTGTCCTGTGACTTATTATTCTTCAAACCCAATGCTGCAGGCTGCCACTCTACTCAAAATTTCTATTTTTTAGCAAGACACCAATTCCTAACTGCAATAACTTAGTTTGGGGTGTCAAAACAGGAAAAAAAATCATAAACTGAGAAAAAGGGATCTGAATTCATGTGTGAGAATAACACGTGAATTTGTGTCTCCTCCATTTGCTGCCTCTGAGAAACAGCCTGCCAAATGCAGTTAGAAGCTGGCTGTGACAGGCAATTTGGTTAAAGCCACAGTACAATTGCAAGTGAGAGACACATAGTAAAAACAAAAAACCCTGTTGCATGACATGATTCAAATGTTTTAACCTCTTCAGCCTCCACAGACTCAGTGCTAGGCCCACTGCTACATGTATGGCAAAAAGAAGTCAAATATCTTTTTCTCACACATAGCAGACTTAAGTTGTAAGTCCATTACTACAAGAGAAGATAGCATGGACCAACTGTGCTCTGTCTGGTCTTATACACTGGAATGGTTGAACGGATTGACTCATGCTAATTAAGGATTACAGATATTGCTGTTGTGCCACTCAGCACAGTATCTGTTAGTGGCTTAACTCATTGGTAGGAAATTTATCAGTCATTTAATGGCTTGTCAATCACCACAGTGTGTTGGTACAGAGGCCCAAGAGAAACTCAAGACTAAAACTATTATGTTGCATGACTTATGTCTTTAGGTGGAGAAGCATAGATAAATGGATTTGTTTTTAAATCCCTGCTCATAGCTATTGGTTTTTACAAATCCCTTACATGCTTTCTCCCTTTAATTTCTTTCGAACATATCTGTAAAAATAACAGTTTCATTTGCGGCAACCTTGAAGAGTCAGCGCCTCGTGCTGTGTATGCATCTCTATTATTTTTGTCAGTATGTGTTGAGGATGTCTCAATTAAATTCATTTTTATTTATATAGCGCCAAATCATAACAGAAGTTAGCTCAGGGCACTTTTCATTTACATCAGAGCTAGACCATACTCTTCATCCTTGGCTGAAGAAATGGTTGAGAAATGCGACAGGAGGAGTGCAGGGACTGAGTAATGAGGGGGAGGAGGAAGACGTGGGGGTCTGAAGTGGAAATGTCACTGAGAGGAGGAGAGCGGGAGTGAGAAGATGAGAGGAGGGTGAGAATGGAGGATGACAGAGAGGTGGAGAGAATGAAGGCAGAGTGAGAATTGAATGGGTCTATTTTAATATATACAGTGACATGGTAATTACATAGTAATGGGATACAGGGATAGATGCAGTAAAATAAACAACTGTACAATTTGATAGCTTTCACCTTAGGGTTTTCCATAAACAGTTCATTCACCTAGATCATACAATTATCTTGTGTAATTAGATACAGTATATTATAAATAAAATATATCTCTGTGAACTTGTAGACCAATTAACTGACGCACAAACCATTTGTGTACTTGCTGGTTGCAACTCAATGTAACTATGCAGTTTAGCATCTTGTTCATGTCACATTTGCTTCTCAGTAAATCATGTATTCATTACCGTAACTTTATTCAGTGAACCATGTGTTGCCATCAAGAGAAACAAAGGGTTAAAGAACTGTATAAGATAACAATATAGGCCCAAATTATTTAAAATTAAAGCATTCAAATAAAATATTTGTAACTTTATCTAGGGAAAAGGCTATGCTTATTATTTTAATGTATGCCCCTCAGAAGGATAATCGTCAGTGTGGTAATTAGCTAATCAGAGCTTTCCTATTTCATAAAAAAAACAACTAGAGGTTGTATGCAATAAGTCACATGCAATGGACCACCTAAGATCTCTATTATCCAGGGCCATAGCTGCGCTATGTAATAAGTACTAGCCATCACAGCACAGTAGGGTGGCCTAAATCTGCCTATGATGTAGGACATGAATTTAAATTTTGAATTTAAAGGAATAGTTCAACATTTTGGGAAATCCTCCATATTGTTTTCTTGACATTATTTCGATGGGAAGACTGATACCACTCTCATATTTGCTCCTTTAAATATAAGACATTGGCTATAGCAGTTGGGTAGCTTAGCATTATCTAGACCGGAAATCGAGAGAAAACGCTAGCATGGCTCTGTCCAAAATTTAAAAGACCATGAAAGCTGCAGAAACAATCGTGATGTGATAACTGTAATCACTTCTGAGCTATTACCCCTATGTACAGTGCTTCATATACCTAGTTTTTTACTGAACATAACAGCTTGAAACAGCAAAAAGTTAAACTACTTATTACTGAAATAAAAACAGATCAGTGCTGAACATCGGGCTGCAGGTGATGTGGCTAGGACGTACAACAAACTACACAATGAGTGACTACACGTCTTTGAAGTGAACTGATCAAATCAGAGAAGTGATTTGTAAATTCCGCCTATAACAACCACAAATACCTCTATAGATGATGAAGCCACTTCTCCCGGCCTAGAAATAGCCCCCCCTTAAAATGATCTCAGTTTTTCTACAGATTTAACAAACAAGATACAACATGTTAAGTAATGGCTGTTAGAGCTGCTGGTAGGCAGATTTTGTTACCTTTGGACAGAACGAGGTCAACTGTTTCTTCCTGTTTCCAGACTTTATAGTAAGCTAAGCTAACTGCCTGCTCGCTGTAGCATTATATTTAGTGGACAGATATGGAAGTGGTATCAATCTTAAGAAGTGAAAAAGCATTTTTCTCAAAATGCCAAACTATTTGTTTAAAATCAGTTTCAATCTATTTCTCAAATGCATGGTAAAAAAAAAAAAAACATTTGTAAGCTTCCCCAAAATCGCCGGTCTGTTTCTTTGGATTTGTTTATGTTTTTGTATATAAAAGCATCAGAGTGCATATAAAATGTATCTGTCTTGACAGACCTAAACAATAAATATACTCTTTAGTGGATACAGAAAACTGTCATATCTTCTGTGCGAATTTCATATCTCTTCTGTCCACTTAAGACCGAATGTGATGTCCTGAACCTTAATATGCCTCTAAAGCATGTGCTACAGAACTAAAGCCATTTTTTTCACGTCTAGATGAGTATCTGAGACACAGCAGCTGACCTTGGCTATTAAATCCTCAGTTTACTCTTAACTTACATCTATACCCGCTGCACCCGAGGGAGAAGGCTCCAGGCGTCTCTCCTTGAACTCTCTTCTTTAATTTGCTTGGAAGGAGAACGAAGAGAACACTAGGGGAAGAAATACTGTCTTTTCTGTCATTGAAGAAAAAAGTATTTTTCTTGTGGAGTCTGAAAAGCACAGTAGGAGGGTTTGCTCTCACAGCAGGTTCTCTTACTGCTCCACTTAAATTACAAGGATGTGTGTATATTTGTGGATGTCCTTGACAGAATCTTGTCTTTTAATTCACTCTTGTCTTTTAATTCACTAATAATGTATTAGATATCAACAAAATGGCATTCTTTACATCGGAAAATTAGGACTTTAATAAAGATTTGACGTTTGTACACAGCACATGTGCAGCAACAATACAACACCATACAAGACATGGACATACGGTATTTATCCAAACAACAACATGAAATAGACAGTTACCAATGCATACAGTGGATAAAAAACAGAATTCATATGTAAAGACAAACATTGCCAATAGAGTTAAAAAGCTTTCAATTCCAATTACTGTAAACAGAATAATGCCACATCACTATCAAAAAGCTCAAAAGAAAAAGTTCTGACATGAGTCAAACAGACATCAGGCATAATATTGACAATAACGCTGCAGATTGAGAGGCATCTTCAAAGACACTGTGAGGCACAGCAAGATGATTTTGACCAGATCGAGCATCAGACACAGAAGTCCTCTGCTGCTGTTTTCAAATGTTTTATCAAACCTCTGAGATCTTAAAAAATCACCAGGGAATTCACAGAAACACTGATGCTTAATTAGTTCAAAATAGCTTGCAGTGTGAATTTTCCATCAGAATAATACATTTGATGATTTTTTTTTTTCACATGGGCACAGACACCCTGACAGGCACTTTCCACCAAGGATTATTTTTATTCTAGGGAGAGCCAGTGTTTTAGAACTTCTGAAACGAACAATCTGCATTTAACATCATGTCTCGCACAACAGTTGAGAATAGTCATCAAAATGGCTTTGGAGTACAAACATGGTCAGAGATGGATTTCCAGAAAGATACTGGATGCACCAAGGCAAACATATAGTACAAATCATGCATGGAATGTAGGAAGGTTGGAAGAGTTGGAGGTTGCAGGTTGTTCATTTGTCAAACCACGTTACTGAGTGGTTGCATGTACACAATTGCAAAGAGGAAACAGTCTATATCTAAGAATGTTAAAATTACTGTGAGTGCAAAACTGAAAACCAATCCCCCAAAACATTCTGCCAGAAGTGCTGATTTCCTTACATTTGTTCAGTAACATCTTTAGCAAATAAAAGAGACCATCTGGCCTTTATAGACAAACACAAGACAGCCATGGATGCAGGAGACACTGTTCTCCTATGTGAAAGTGCAGTGGCAAGACATTACAGGTATATGAATACATCATGCAGAGGTGAAAACAATGTAGCATCACTCCTTAAAAGTGCCTGATCTATCTATTTTTTTGCCCTTCCTCCCTCTTTGCATTCTCTTTCATCATCTACTCCTTGCTGCCATCTAGCCTACTACTTAATATTCCCACCACTTCCCCCAACATTTTTCATCACCTTACATTGACTCCAGACTCTAAAGCTGTCGCAGCCCTTAATTAACTTCACTCCGACCCTACTGCTCTCACGGAGGGATTTCAGCTGGCTTGACACAACTTCTGGCAGCCATAGTGGAGGTCAACTCTTTGAGTTTTTTACAACCAGGATTAACAGGATAAATAGACAGTGGTGATTTCTGCAAAGTTTTAGCTGTTAAATGGCATCATCTCCAGTAATCTGATCAGTTTAAAGGAAAAGTTCAAAATTTTGGGAAAACCATTTATTCACTTTCTTGCGGAGAGTTTGATCAGAATTTTGATATCACTCACATGTACGTTTGAAGCTACCACCAGCTGCCGGCTAACTTAGCTTAGCATAAAGACTGGTAATGGGCTAAAAGATAGCCTGGCTCTGTCCAAAGGTAACAAATTTTCACCTCTAAAGCTCGCTTATAAACACGTCTTGTTTGGATTTTGTTACCGTTGAACAGAGCCAGGCTAGCCATTGCCCCCTGTTTTTAATTTTATGCTAAGCTTGATTACTATAACCAGCTGCTGTGAAGAGTGGTATTCCATCTTACTCTCTTCAAGAAAGCAATGTTTAAGCAACATGTTAGATAATGGCAGTTTGTTAGCTAGCTAATCATATTAATTCACCTTTGCTCACAAATTAATAGTTAGGAGAGGGTTCAATTGTTTGCTAGTATACTTATGTTAAAATTAACATTTTTAGTTTTCAATAATTAGACCGCTAGCTGGTTTGCCAACACAGAAAGTATGAGCTGTAACTTACAAAATTTGATCTATATCCATACTACAGCTAAATTTATGAAGAATCTCATCTTGTGTTGCACAGTTCACCAGTGGACCTCGATGATAACATCGGCTGTGGTTGCTAGAAGTTTGCTGAAGTAACTGCAAAGCCTCTATCCAGGTCATATGAATAAATACCATTCGTTTTCCATTTCCTACATACTTGTTAGTCCATGCCGCATAGAGTTGTTTAGAAAATCCTGTAGCACTGCTACAGGATCCTGGGCAGAGGAAATTCTACTTTCTTGAATGCGCTACAACTTTACCCCTCCCTCCACCCTTCTTCACTTCTACTTTCCTCAAAGCCTTCCCCCATCGGTCATTGAGAACTCCTGTTGTGTTTACTACAAGGCTCCCCCGGGTCCTTGGTTGCTCCACCATAAACCTCGACTCCGTTCTCGCTCCAGGGAGCCACACTGCCCTGGGTTACTCTGCCACAGCGTGCCAAGTTTGCCACCTGGCTAGAAGACAGGACCCGGTCCCAAAGACCCACCTGGGACAACTCTCCAACCAGGGCTTGGGATGAGTCAAAACCTCCACCCAGGGAATCCTGGAGATCGAGAAGAGTGAAGATGGATTACAGGAAGGAAGCTTGAAAGGATCCAGGTGATTAAAGTCAAAAACACTTTGGTTTACAGACACGCTCAGTTTCAGCTGTTTTCCTGCCTTGGGCAAGACTGTGGACTTGCTTTAGGGGAGATGAAGGAGAAATGATAGAAAGTGACCAGTATGCATGCAGGACTACGGAATGAAGAAGCCATATGGGAGGGCTTTTTTGGTTGTGGATGAGAGTCCCCTAGCCGACTACCCTTGTTGCTTATGACCATGCACACACACACACACACCATATCCACCCAACACACCACTTCAACAATTTGCCTAGCAGTATACTCTAAACCTAATCAAACTTAGATTTACTGTGTGTACTTTCACAAAGACTTTCAAAGTGTTCCATTTTACTTACAACTCAGGGGGAACTGATTAGAGCCGTAGTTGCAGTGGGTTAACTATTTGCTTACAGCGCTGTAGTCAGCAGTAGCCTGAAGGGCATACAAAATTAGGTTTCTCCTGGGGTAACCTGCCTGCCTTACCTGCTGCTCATCAGTTAAAACTTAATTAATTCAGCCTTTCATTCCCTCAATTGTGCATTCACCTGCTCCTGCCCCAGTATGAGCACTCCCCCGGGTCTGATGTGATGTCCCGCTGCCAGTGTGTGACCCTCGCCCCTCAGCTTTCCCCCCTGGTAGGCCTGCCAGGCTCCTCCCTTCTGGCTCCAGCTCACACAGATGTGCTGCCAGCTGCCTCTGGAGAGATTTAGAGGCAACTGCGCCACCTAGGAATGGGAGAGCAAAAGGGCAGTTCAAATGAAGTACATGATTGTATTCTGATATTTCTACATGTCTCGCATTCAGAAGTCTTCAGGCTTGACAGTATTTCTTCAATCCCAGAGACATTCTGCTACCTCCAAGGACATGGAGTGTTTCCTCTGGGCATCTATTACCATAATGACTTTGTTGAATTATATCTGAAGCCACTGCGCTACCCCACCCTGCAATGCAGCCAAGGTGGTACATTAAAACACATGAATGGGGCTATTTAGCCTGTCTCCTATTGGCTCTTTCATATGATGTGTTCTACATATTTGTATGCTAATACAGGTCACTATATCTTCTGTAATAGGCAGGAAAAAATTCCAATCAAGACTATAATGCTTTTGATATACAGTACAACTGGTAGAATTTCAAAAAGTGGATTAGCCTTATCGAAAGCAGTGAACTCTTCTAGGGTGATTAATTAATTATCAGTAAACAAAGATATGTACACTGGTTGCTGTGCCTTTATAGGGAATTTATAAAGAGTTAGCCATCAGTGTTTGAAAACCTTTGTATCCTATCCTTTATGCTTTTTTATTAAACCTCCCCAAGCGTGTACATGTGCTGAGACGGCATCAGACAATAAGCTTAACTCTTCCACTGCACCGTTAAAGTAACATTTATATCATCTTGATGTTTAACTAATCCATGCTTGTTAACATGGTAACATTACATTGATTGCATTTATCTGACAGCTTTTCAATAACTATTTGTGTTTCTTTCACCAAAGAGGCTCAGCAATTTCGACATAGCTAAATTTATTGTATGATAATGAAAATGCTCGGTGAGCTAGACGGAATATTATAAATTAGATTCTTGCCACACTTTAGTACAACACTTAGACCGCAGTAAGCAATGCTACTGTACCGAAAGGGTCTTCCACTGTAGTGATGTGCTGCACCGTTATGTTGCACTATTGTATATTATGTGGGTCACCTAAGTTACATGAGGTCATACACAGCAAAACATAAAATAATAACGATAATAAAAATAAAATACAGATAAAACACAACATTATCAACACTATTTAAACACTTGCATTGTATGAGCTAGTATGTATCTGAGGGATTTGGAATATTAATAGGAATGCAAATGGCATTGTAATCATAGCAGTGGCGCAAAAAGAGAATCATTAAAGTGCAGAAATGGGGAGGAGGGGGCAGATGGGAGGAATTACCTTGCAGGCTAAAATGAACATTTTGACATAATACCAGTTCCAGGGTTCGCTGGTGAAGTAATGTGATAAGCGATACAACTGTAGGCTAGGATAACGATAACGTTAGCAACTGGTTGCGTTAACGTTATCTAATTTGAGCCAACTAAAAACAAAATTTCACATGTTTTGCAGTAATGTTATTTTACTTGTCCAATGGGTTGGTTTTTATGTGCAAAACAAAGTAGAGGTCTCTCCATGACATAAACACCTTTCTAATATTTACCATGTTTTTGCCCGACATCGATCGGATTCTCGTTTAGCCTGACAGACTTAAACACACATTTTTGTTGGTGTTTGTGTTGTGCTGTGATGCAGTTTTTGGCGTTATCTGCAGTGTTGTCGCTGTGTGTGTCCTATTCACATAGGATGCTGCATAGTGGCTGTTTCAAGTGACTGAGAAAGTTATTAAATAAAATTTTTATGTGAGATTACAACCTGTTCACAAATACACAATAAAAAATTATAATTCATAATAAAACAAATAATAAAAAAAAACAGACATGGCCCCTTTAAAGAAAACCTTTGAACGCTTTAGTACACACACAAACATAAATTCACTGTAACAGATTCCTAAATTACACAACCATATTCACACATTTGTATATTGAAATGCATATGTGAAGGGATGCATGCAAAGTCAATTTTTTATATTTTTACCTTACAATAATTGACATATTGAGTAATGAGCAGATATTGAGCAGATGCAGCTTGATACCTTGTCATTGATGAGCATCTCAGTGGGGCTATGCAGGCCTTGCAGCAGCACCAGTTCGTTGGGCTGCTCAGGAACAGCGTAAGAAAGAGGTGTCCCGATTCCTCCTTCTGCCGGCCGCAGCCACAGGCAGATGGTGAAGGCCCGCAGCATTGGGATGGAGTGTTTCACAACAGCGTACATGTAGTTTGTACGAGTTGGGAAGGACAATCTGTAGCCCTCTGGGAAAGAATGCCCTGAGATACCTGGGAAAGCAGAAAGAGAGCATGAATTTGGAAATAAAAAGGGATAGAGAAGGCAAGGAGAAATCAATGAAGGATCAAATAGATTTCCTGCTTTTCTCATTTACTGTATCTGCACTTTCTGTTTTTTGTTAAAGCAGGGCAGGAATTTCATAGTCTTTCTGATGTCTTTTTGCCTTTTACATAAGTTAAACATAATTTATTCATCATAAAGAAACCCCATGGCGTAATCTGATTAAGAGTAGGCTTGTATATAAATGAAACATCTGAGGTAACTTGCCAGATTATTTCTCATCATTAGTGACTTGAGACATCGTGCAAGTGATTAATCACATTGACTTACAATTTCTCTCAACATTTTGTATACCTCTTTATTATATTTTAATCTACACATTAAAATACACCCACAAGTACACACATTTTTCTGTTTTTTCCCCTCTGTTGATACCAACCTTCCTCCAGTCCTGAGAGTCGGTGGTGTAGTTTATTGATGCCCCGGTCGATTTCCTGTCTGTTTTTCTCTGTTTCCAGCCTCAGGGCTTTTCTCTCTTTGTCCAGCAGCTCCACCTTCCTCTCCAGCTCCCCCTCCAAGTCCTCCATCCTCGAGGCCTTGTCAGCACCAGCTCTGTGCCCAGGATTAGTCAACCTTTCTGGGCCGCCAGACATCCCGCCTTCCTCTGGCACTCCTGAGGTGTTGCTGTCCGTCTGGTTGTGAGGAAATGGGCCAATGTCTGACTGCAGAGGAGGGAGGCAGTGGATAAAGTAGTTCACAGTGTGGGTTTTACAGTCTAGGTACTCTTGCTGTTGTTCAGGTAATATAATGTTTTTACTACTTCATGAAAATGCACATCCCAGCTGTAGCAGTGATTCTCAACATTCTGTTGGTTGCGTGCCTATGTAAGGAAAAGTTATTAGCCTAATTAATAATTGATTTTGCTGAAAATTACATCGCGTCTGGGGATAGGGGCTGAGTAAATAAGGTTTCAATATGCTGGAGTTATTGTAATGTTTCATCTTTAAAAAGCAGTTGTTGTGACATAGAATTTCAGAGAGAAACTAACAAAACAAAGTGTCAACCACATAAAGTTTTGTTTATGAACAGATCTTCATTAAGCTAAGCCATCTTATGTCTTCAGGGTTTTTTTTAATTAAGTACAACACAACAAATAATTGCAAGTCAGAAAAGGCTGCCTAGAGAATGAACCATTTTAGTCAACAACAAATTGCTAGGGCCCCGCTGCTTAATGGTTCACTGAAATAAACACCAGAACCACAAGGGAAGAAATGTGGGAAATACAGACTCTGCAAGATTCCTGAAACCTGCCTGGTCCAATATATCCACCAAGCACATTATTTAACAGTATGCAGTAGAAATACAAAGACACCATGGGGGAATATATATAGAAGTTACACACAGATATAGTACTTTGAACAACATAAGCGATACAGTGTGCAGTTTGCTGACCTATATTGTATACAAGGTTACAGATGAACTAAGGATCTAGGGAAGGTAATTATTTCCTAGAAAGACAACTACTGTGTAAAAATGTGACAACATGTAGAATAGGACTGATGTTATGTTATGTGGTTAAAAAAAGATCTTACCGAAATATAGATTTCAAGATTCTGAATGGTTCTGGTGTTATTATATTATATTTTTGACCCAAAAAAGTTGCATGATGGATTAATATTAATTTCCATATAATCCTCAGTTCATCACTCTATCCTACAAACACTTTATCTAGGGACATATATAGGCTAGTGACATTTGTGGTAGAATCAACAACAAATTGTCAACCAGCCTTTTCTCAGTTTTGTAAATATCAGAATTTTGTTAATATGTCATTATCGTCAAGCACAATCATATTTACTGTAACAGTTGATGTCTATTAGAACTGATCCAAAATTACAGGTATGCAAGTTTCTCTGGACTAACACTAAAAAAATGTGCTTAAATCATGCGTATGCTAATGGTGAGTCTTGGCATCGTAGGTGATTTATCCTCTTTGACAGTTCTGTTATTGAGCCTGGGGTTACGCTCCAGGACAGGTATTTACATGTGCAGATGCCAAACATTTCTA